ACTCCAGAAGTCTGAAGCAGGTGGATCATCTGAGCTCAGGGGTTTGAGACCAGCCTGAGCAAGAGTGAGAATCTTGTCTCTACTACAAATGGAAAAGAACTAGCTGGGTATTGTGGTGGGTGCCTGTAGTCCCAGCTACTTGGGAGGCTGAGGCAAGAGGATCTTTTTAGCCTAAGAGTTTGAGGGTGCTGTGAGTTGTGATGATGCCATGACACTCTACCCAGGTTGACAGATTAAGACTCTCAGAAAAGAAAAAAAAAGAAAAAGAAAAGGGAAATTATGATGAGTCAGTTATATAATCAGATGAATCTTCAGTGAGCATGGAGTCAGAGAAGGACAAATGATTGGAGGTTTCCAGTGGTTGGTGGCTTTAAGGTTTTCCTCATGGTCCCTAGAAATGCATCTGGGAAGGGGTTAGTAGCCACCATACTCCTGTTCAGGTAGAACTGAAGATGTAGAGATATATTCGTATCTTTTTGGGGTAGATTCCTTACAGCCACTAGCATTATCTAAACAGAACCTTTCTTCGGGTGCTGAATAAAACAAAAATGGCAAAATGGACTCAGTGCCCATAGCACAGTGGTTAGGGTGCCAACCACATACACCAAAGCTGCCAGGTTTGAATCCAGTCGGAGCCAGCTAAACAACAATAACAACTGCAACAAAAAATAGCTGGGCATTGTGGCGGGTACCTACAGTCCCAGCTACTTGGGAGGCGGATGCAAGAGAATCACCTCAAGCCCAAGAATTTGAGGTTGCTGTGAGCTGTGACACCACAGCACTCTACTGAGGGGGACATAGTGAGACTCTGTTTCAAAAAAAAAAAAAGGCTGGGGCTGGGTTTGAACCTGCCACCTCTGGCATATAGGGCTGGTGCCCTACTCCTTTGAGCCAGAGGCTCTTTTAGAGTATATTTCTTCGACAGAGTAAAAAAACTATACCATCTGTATTGTTTCTGCTAGTTACTAATAATTAACTTGATTTCTAAATTTATTGGAAATAAACTTTACTGCTGGCCCTCATGTGACTATTTTATAGAGAAAATTGTGAACAAGATTCAGTTTTCTAATTTGTGGCTTTTAGAGCCTGCTTGGAAAGACAAAAAATCACCTGAAAAAGTAAGAAATAACTAAAAGGAGTTCTGTCTTCTCATAAACTTTTTGTGGGAGCCTATCTTGATGCAGTCTTTCTAAAAGGCGATTTGGCATTACACTCCAAATTCCAAAAGCATACATTGTTTAACTTAACTGAATTTCAAGGACATTATACTATAGAAAGATTGCATGAAAGTGCAAAGATACATGTACAATTTTTTTTTTTTTTTTTGAGACAGAGTCTTACTTCTGTTGCCCTGGGATAGAGTACAGCAGCATCTCAGCTAACAACCTTAAACTCCTGGGCTCAAGAGATCCTCCTGGCTTAGCCTCCTGAGTTGCTGAGACTACAGACCTGCCACCATGCCTGGCTAATTTTTCTATTAGCCTGGTAGAGATGAGTGGGTCCCACTCTTGCTCAGGCTGGTCTCCAACTCCTAAGCTCAAGTAATCCACCTATCTTGGCCTCCCAGAGTGGTAGGATTACACGGTGAGCCACCATGCCCAAAGATGTTCACTGTAACTTAACATGTTGTGGAGAAAAACTGGAAAAACCTAAATATCATTTCCCTTTTTTTTTTTTTTTTTACAGTTTTTTGGCCAGGGCCGGGTTTAAACCCGCCACCTCAGTATATGGGGCCAGTTGCCCTACTCCACTGAGCCACAGGTGCCACCAACTTAAATATCATTTCAGTGATGATATATTCATATACTAGAACTTGTATTCACTAAGAGCTCAGTAAATATTTGGTTAGTGAACGGATTAACAGAATGTTACATAAAAAAGCAAGTTGTAGAACTATACATATAGAATTATCCCATTTTTGAATAAAGAAAAGACCAATTTGTGTCCCTATACTTTTTTTTTTGTTTGTTTTTTGAGGCAGAGTCTCACTTTGTCATTCTTGGTAGGTAGAGTGCTATGGCGTTATAGCTCACAGCAATCTCAAACTCTTGGACTCAAGCAACTCTCTCGCCTCAACCTCCCAAGTAGCTGGGACTGCAGGTGCCTGCCACAGTGCCTGGCTTTTTTTGTTGTTGTTGCAGTTGTCATTGTTTAGCCTGTTTAGCAGGCCCGGGCCAGGTTCGAACCCACCAGCCAGTGTATGTGGTGGGCGTCTTAACCACTGAACTATGGGAGCTGAGCCTTCTCTATACATTTTTATAGTCCTAGAGAAAAGTGTGGATGAATAGGGATGGAACTGAATTTTGCAGGGCAAGTACACTATTTACTCTATACAGTTTTGTACTTTTTGAAATAATTATTTAGGTTGGTTAATAAAAGTTTTTTTTTTTTGAGACAGAGTCTCTCTATGTTGCCCTTGATAGAGTTCCATGAAGTCACAGCTCACAGCAACCTCTAACTCTTGGGCTTAAGCGTTTCTCTGGCCTCAACCTCCCAAGTAGCTGGGACTACAGGCGCTCACCACAAAGCCTGCCTATTTTTTGTTGCAGTTGTTCGGTATTGTTTAGCTGGCCAGGGCCAGGTTTGAACCTGCCAGCCTAGATGTATGTGGCTGATGCCATAACCACTGTGCTACTGGCGAGGAGCTTGTAATAAAAGTTTTTTAAAAATAGGGAACAGTGCTGGGCTCGGTGGTTTACACCTGTACTCCTAGCACTCTGGAAGGCCCAGGTGGGTGGATTACCTGAGCTCACAGGTTCCAGACAAGCCTGAGCCAGAAGGAGACCCTAGTTTCTAAAAGTAGCTGGGCGTTATGGCAGACGCCTGTAGTCTCAGCTTCTCTGGAGGCTGAGGTAAGAGAATCTCTTGACCCAAACAGTTGGAGGTTGCTGTGAGCTATGACGCCAAGGACGACAAAGTGAGACTCTGTCTAAAAACAAAACAAAACAAAACAAATAACAACAACAAAAGGGCCAGGCGCCGTAGCACAGTGGTTATGGCACCAGCCACATACACTGAGGCTGGCGAGTTGGAAACCGGCCCAGGCCAGCTAAACAGTGAGCAACTGCAACAAAAAATAGGTGGGCTTTTTTTTTTTTTTGAGACAGAGTTTTACTTTATTGCCCTTGGTAGGGTGCTCTGGTGTCACAGCTCACAGCAACCTCCGACTCCTGAGTTTAGGTGATTCTCTTGCCTCAGCCTCCCAGGTAGCTGGGATTACAGGCCCCAGCCACAAAGCCTGGCTATTTTTTTGTTGCAGTTTGGCCAGGGCTGGGTTTGAACCCGCCACTTTTGGTATATGGGGCCGGTGCCCTACTCACTGAACCACAGGCGCCGCCCAAAATAGGTTGGCTTTGTGGTGAGCACCTGTAGTCCCAGCTACTTGGGAGATTGAGGCAAGAGAATAGCATAAGCCCAATAGTTTGAGGTTGTTGTAAGCTGTGACGTCACAGCTCTCTACTGAGAGCGACACAGTGAGACTCCGTCTCAAAAACAAAAGATAGGAAACCGTGTGAAGTAGCTTCTAAGTAGTAAATGAGTGGGTAGTACAGCGATAGACTGTAGGCATACAAGAAGGGATCACTGGTGGTGGGGATAATCAAAAAGTCTTTCCGGCTCCGCGCCTATATCTCAACCGGCTAAGGCGCCAGCCACGTACACCTAAGGTGGCGGGTTCGAATCCCCAGCCCGGACCCGCCAAACAACAATGACGGCTGCAACCAA